GGGGCCTACCTCTCCCTAGAAACTCCTCAAGTCTTCTCAAACGTTCTCTGCGACAGGCGGCATGGCGGACACCTCTCCTTTTATAATCGTTAGAGAAGTGTTGGTAGGATAAGGATAATATTTCCAAAGATGATTTCCTATTTGCCAGAGTATTTAATTTGCAAAACAGATTTTTGCCAACCTCAATAATTAGTCTGAATAATTAAATTAAATAAAATAATTATTTAAATATATAATATTTTCAAAATATAAGCATTATAATATTTCTGTTTCCACCAAATTACAATATGCAGAAGAGAGAAAAAATTATCTTGGCTGTGTTCTGCTACAGTTTTGTGACGCCTACGTACCTATGCAGTTTTTGAAAATGGGGTTTAGGCTCCTAAATGATGTTGTCACTTCTAAAACCTCGTCCTGTATATTGATTGCAATAACTATGGATCTAAAAGGAAACTGGCTTATATCTGGGAAAAGAGAGTTAAAGATTTGGAGATGAAAGGAAGTTGTGAGTGACTGAGTCTCACAGAACAGAATCTGCTTCAAGGAGGCTATGATGTGACATTGTTAGTCAAACTTTTCAAATCTGGAAAACAAAATTTAGTTTTCTAATGATGTATTAAAAGACCAAGGGGGAAAGGGCACTAATTTTCAATGATGCTAAACTGTCATGGAAACCCAAGGGAGATCAGCATCTTTGAAAATCAAGCAGCTTTTATTTAAGTGCTTAAATATGTATTCATGAGCCTAATTGTAATAATTCACTTTTCAAAGTTTTAATCATTGCTTTCATTTTTTTTCCTATTTAGTTGAGTTTATAGAATAACATATCAGATCTTTCCAGGAGACTCACTATAGCAGTTAATGTTTAGCATTTTATTATCTCTATTTTATGGTGTTTTCATTTTGGTAGCACTTTTTAAGTAGCACAAACAGTAAAACATTAAGCTTCACATCATTCATACTAAGCTGGGGCATGGTTTGTTTGTTATCCATTGTGGAAGTCTCACAGGAAGTCTGTGGAAAAGATGGAAATAAAATCTAGATTTTTCTGGCTTTTATTCCTGTGCTTTAGATCAGTGTTTCTCAACCTTTTTTTATTAAGTACTCCCTTTAAAAAAAATTATAAGTACCCCCAGTACGTAGTTTTCAGAAACACAAATTTTTCTTCTACCATTGCAACACATTTGTTTAAATAACGTAATCATAGCCAGACAGGCGATAAAATTTTGAGGTGTAAAAAGTACAAAAAATAATAAAGCACTGTAACAAAACAAAAATTCAGTTTTCTTCAGATTTCAATTGTTGACGTACCCCCCCCCCACACACACACATCTCTCAAGTACCGCTATTGGTTCTCATACCACTGGTTCAGAAACACTGCTTCAGATCATCTCGCCTCTTTTCTTGTAACCTAGTTGTTGATAAAAGTTCCTAAAAGAATGGTCTAGTGATTAAAACTCAGTGCCAGAAATTAGGAGGACTGGATTTTATCCCTGACTCTAACTCAGATTATGAGAGAGGCCTCAATGTCTGTTCCAAAGAGGTGCAAGTGCTGCAAAGTACTTAAAGACGTAAGCTATGGCTACCCTATAGAGCTTTAGTGGTGCGGCTGCATTTTTGTAAACTCTGTAGGATAGCCACTCCAACAAGAGAGTGCTCTTCCCTCAGCTTAATTACACCAACTCCTAGTGAGTGTCAATAGTTATGTCAGTGGGAGAAGCTCTCTTGCCAACGTACGTTGTATTGTTCAGGGGCCTGGCTAATTCACATAACTAAGAAAAAGTTAATCTCAAATCCTGAGCAAGGAAAGAAGGAATTTTGAACGGAATGGCTGGAAGTTGCTACAATTTGAGAGTCATGGGTGGCAGTTGCATTCCAGAGGAATGTAATCAAAGTCTAAACTGCTACTTTGTTATGCTGCAACTTTCTGGCTCTGAAGAAACACTCCACTGAGCACTGCAAGTTACAGTGCTATAAAGCACGGCTGTAAATGGGCTCCCAGCCCTGGGAGCTACTCTCTTGCTGGAGGTGGTTTGCATAGTGTACTGGGAGAGCTATCTCTCAGCTTTTCTGCCGTGCCACACTTTCATTTTAAAGTGTTGCTAATGACTATGCTTCAATTTTAGAAGTCTAGACAAAGCCAGAAACTTTGGGGGAAAATAATTAGACATGTGTATGCTTGCTGGGAAAGGAGCACATGAGATGCTGAAAGAGAGAATCATAGAGGGCCACAGTGAGAATAGGAAGACAAATGGGGATCCATGGTAGAGAAGCTGAGAGAAGATAGGTGAGGAAGACTAGGAACCCCCTGCTCTTCCGGTGCACTTCATCTCTCTGCAACTTGCTTTTCATTAAACCTAAATCAGTAAGTCTTGGCTCATGCTCTTGCTACCCTTTTAATGAACCTATATAAACTTCCTAGGTGTTTCTGGGTGATGTTTAGCTCTGTGCTCTGGATCCATAAAAAGGGAATGTAAAAAATGTGCTCTATCTTGTGATATCATTTGCCTCATACTACCACATACAATGTTTTGTAGGCTTAGAATCCTTTCAGGTGACTTAATTAAAAGCATTGTCTCATTGTAGTAAACAAACATTATAATGGAAGGCCTTACTTAGACTACAGCTAAAAATACTGAATTTAGTTTTGGTTACCTCAGTGAGATTATACTTCCTTTCAGGTTTCACTGAAGCAACCATTCTGGCATTTTCTATTCATGCTCAGATGCAAAGCAAACTCTAACACAATCCTTGTCAGACTATTTTTTTCCAAGACCTCCTCACCCTGTGGGGTTCTGACTTTTTGGTAGAGACCAGTTGTTTTTGAAAGAATCTGTTTCAAAACAAGTTCCAGTGTGAGGAATTGCTCCTGCCTAGAGCAGGGGGCTGGACTTGATGACCTTCTGAGGTCTCTTCCAGCTCTCTGATTCTATGAATTGCACCCTATATGAAGATTCAGTGCAAGACCTAATTACAAAAAGTTAAACATGCCACAATTG